GTTCAAAGGTAATAATTTCGTAAAAGCTTGGTTATGGAAACTTAGAAATAGTTTGAGTTTAACCTGAAGTTTTGAGATCAGTGTCAAATACGGCAAGTAAACTTCCCAACTGAATATCTCTTGTAGTCAAGAAATGTGCTTCTCACTTGAACGAACTTGTGACTTGAGAAGGCATTTTCGTAAGGTGTCTTAATACTCTCTAGAAGGAGCACACAACTTGATTTCAGAAGGCCTGGGTTCAAGTGCTAGCATGTAACTCATTCAGTGTCACCGTGGATTTTACCTTGTCCCCATAAGCTTCAGTCTAAAGTTAGGGATAATGAGGCCTGCTGTTTCTTGGCCTTGGGGTGACTGCATGAGTCAGAAGAGATCTTGGGGTGCAAAAGCACCCTGCAGATCACAGGTGGAGTTTGTTTACTTTGCTTGTTCAGTAGAGAAGGGGGTACAGGAGTGGGAACATTTTGGAGACCATCCTGTGACATGTATCCCTTTCTCTTGCTTCCCTGATACACAGGTGGACGGGCAGGTGGTCGCATTGCTCGTGCAGAATCTGGAGCGTCTGGATGAGTCTGTGAAGGAAGAGGCGGATGGTGTCCACAACACTCTGGGTAAGGGGGAGAGTGGCCAGCACTTCCTGAGTTTGTGTTTGTTTTGGGGGTTGGCACTCATTTCCTTCTTCCTTTGTAATAGAGTCAACAGCCAGAGGGTTTTCTTTTTTTTCTGCTCCCAAACTGCCTGTTCAGAAATGAAGACCCTTGTGTAAATTTCATATAACTGCTGCTTTGGTTGGGCTTTCAGGTAATAAAAGCAGAAATCCACTAAGTAGATGACCTTCCTGGGCAAAAATGGCTGGCTTCTCTGAACAGGCCTTTGTCTCTGTCTCTAAAAGTCAGGATGAAGTCTATGCAGGATGGATTCTTTTTTTTTTACCTTTGGAAAGTATATATTTTAGGATTTTTGTGTCCCCTTCTATTGGTTTTTCTTCCCATTTCTCTGCAGTGGAACTACAAACTTTTGAACCACTGTGTATAGGCATACCTCATTTTTTGTGTGTGTACTTTATTGTGCTTTGCAGATGTTACATTTTTACAAATTGAAAATTTGTGGCAACCCTGCATTGTCAGATGATAGATAGCATTATTCACTAATACGGTATTTTTAAATTAAGGTATGCATGTTGGTTTTTAGATATAATGTTATTGCACACTTAGTAGACTATGGTTTAGTGTAAGTAAAACTTTTATATGCACTTGGAAAGCAAAAAATTCATGTGATTCTCACTTTATTGTGATATTCACTTTATTGCAATGGTCTGGAACCAAACCCACAATATCTCCAAGGTACACCTTGGATGTACACCTGTTACCTTGGATTTTACCTTGTCCCCTTAAGCTTCAATCTAAAGTTAGGGATAACGCCTAACTTTATAGGGCATTTTATTTGAAAAAGAGTTAGTATTTCCTTCCCTTCTTTTTTTAAAATTTTTTAATTTTATTTATTTTTTTTCATTTATTTTTATTAGTTGGAGGCTAATTACTTTACAGTATTGTAGTGGTTTTTGTCATACATTGACATGAATTAGCCATGGATTTACATGTATTCCCCATCCCGGTCCCCCCTCCCACCTCCCTCTCCACCCGATCCCTCTGGGTCTTCCCAGTGCACCAGGCCCGAGCACTTGTCTCATGCACCCAACCTGGGCTGGTGATCTGTTTCACCCTAGATAATATACATGTTTCAATGCTGTTCTCTTGAAACATCCCACCCTCGCCTTCTCCCAGAGTCCACAAGTCTGTTCTATACATCTGAGTCTCTTTTTCTGTTTTGCATATAGGGTTATCGTTACCATCTTTCTAAATTCCATATATATGTGTTAGTATACTGTAATGGTCTTTATCTTTCTGGCTTACTTCGCTCTGTATAATGGGCTCCAGTTTCATCCATCTCATTAGAACTGATTCAAATGAATTCTTTTTAATGGCTGAGTAATATTCCATGGTGTATATGTACCACAGCTTCCTCATCCATTCGTCTGCTGATGGGCATCTAGGTTGCTTCCATGTCCTGGCTATTATAAACAGTGCTGCGATGAACATTGGGGTGCACGTGTCTCTTTCAGATCTGGTTTCCTTGGTGTGTATGCCCAGAAGTGGGATTGCTGGGTCATATGGCAGTTCTATTTCCAGCTTTTTAAGAAATCTCCACACTGTTTTCCATAGTGGCTGTACTAGTTTGCATTCCCACCAACAGTGTAAGAGGGTTCCCTTTTCTCCACACCCTCTCCAGCATTTATTGCTTGTAGACTTTTGGATATTTCCTTCCCTTCTTATGTGTACTTTACCGTGTAAACTGTGAGTCAGTGTATTGCTGTTAACTTGCCTGTCCCTTTATCATATGTTCATTTAAGTAGATTCCTCTGCAATATTTCCCCTCCTCCTCCTCAAGTCTCCCCAGTCCTTCCTTCTGCAAAGTTGATGAACCAATAGTCTGTTTAAAATTGTGGTTTGGAGTAGTGCTGTTTATCACCATTTGCTGTCTTATAAAACCAAAGGTGACATATCTGTAAGCAGAGCTTGAGAAATGAACAAGGCCCAGCAGAAGTAGAAATTTTGATGAGGTTAGATTTCCTCCCAGCTCCTTGGTGTCTACCACAGATTTCTCTTGCGGTTTTATACTCTCCACTGGGAAATTATCATAGAGGAGGAGGAAGACAGCACCTAGGGAGTAAGAGAAGAGAGAACACAACAGTCTGTGATCTGGGGGTTGGCTGTAGTCTAGAGCCAGAATTTGGCATTGCCATCTGTCAGCCTAGTGCTGAATTTCGCTGAATAGAAGGCTTATCAGAAGTTTTAACGGACTGTTTATAAAAAGAGCCTGATGTAATGGGAAAAGCACCAGCCTGTCAATCTGTGATCTGTGTATAGTGTCAACTTGGTCCCTTACCAGCAGCTCAGGAGATTCATCCCGCTCTTCCCTACGAAGCATGTGATGTTTGTCAGGCACTGTTCTAGGCCACTGGGTACATTAAAGATGAATTAGGCAAAGTTCTTAAGAACCATACTGATGGGAAAGTCTTGAACAGAAAGGAGAGATAATACAGGGTATTGTAATAGTATAATAGGAATCAGTGGGGAGCCCTACTGAAGAGAAGAGGAAGGGTCTCCAAATGGCTGGGCAGGAGCAGGTAGCTGATTGAGGCTGAATATGAAGAGAGTTGCATTTTGATGGAAAAATGTGAGCCAGACCCTCAGGCAGGGCAGTATCGTTTGTCAAGTCACGAATGGGTAAGGGCTTTGGGGAAAGACTAGAAATGTGCTGTGGCAGCGAGAGGTAAAGATGATGGGAGATGGGACCAGAGGAGTAAGATTGTCCAGACTTTGGAAGACCTTCTAAACCTTGGCAAGATGCTTGGAGTTTATTCTAGTGGACAATAGAAAGCCACCTGAAGTGTAAGCAGAATAAGACAAAGGCATCAGAGGTTGAACAGAATGAGCCAGTTTCTTAGAAAACGTGGAAAGTAATGCAAGGTATTGAGATGATCGCCGTCGCTCAGGTCTTACTGCCGCTCTGCAGTCACAGCTTTGCCTCCACTCCCTGAGGGCTGCCTGGCCTCCTTTAAGTTGCCACTGGCGAGGCTGACGCGGGCTGGAGAGTGAGGACGAAATAGGAGGTGTATTGCTTCCTTCAGCCTTTTCTCCGGAAGACTCAGGCCTGCTGGGTGTTGTGCTTAGAGAGCACAGAGCTCCATCTGCTCCCTGATAGTAACATATCCAGGCGTGGGGAGCAGCAGGAAGGAAAGGAAAGCACTGGATGTATTAGAATGAGGGTTTGGTTTGTATGGGCTTGGATCTGTTTTTGGCTGTGCTAGGTCTTCGTAGTGGCACGTGGGCCCTTCATGACAGTGCGAAGGTGCTTCCCTAGCTTCATCACAGGCTCTAGTTGTGGTGCATGGGCTCTCTAGTTGCAGCAAGCAGGCTTAGTTGCCCTGTGGTGTGTGAGGGTCTTAGTGCCCCAGCCAGGGATTGAACCCTTATCCCCTGCATTGGAAGGTCAATTCCTAACCACTGGACCACCAAGGAAGTCTGTAGTTTTTTTTTTTTTTTAACGTCTTTTTTTTAGTCTCATAATCATACAATCACTTTTTTTTTTTTTTTTGGCCTCCTCATTTAAAATTTTTCTATTAAACAGCAATGTGCCTGTTGTAGGAGATAGCAGGACCAATTATATTTGCTTCTGAGTACCTGACAGTTACCTCTGCCAGCATGGCCTTTCCTGTCTATGCACCTTGTTTTGTTCAATTAAGAATATCATGCTGCTTCCCTTGTAGTATCTGAAGAAAGATCTGAAAAGGGGTGAGTCAGGAGAGGAAGAGGCTTTGAATTCGTCCACTGATTTTTCCTAATAAGGCTTCTGCCTAGCCCCCTGTCTCTTCTGTCACAGGTCTCAGGGACTGTAGTACTGTGACAGTAAGAGGGCCTTCTTAGGCAGATACTCACACCTTTGTGTATTCCACTGTAGTGTTCTACACAGCAGAAAACCTTCGCTATTCCTTTAGTGAATTCTGACAAGTTCAGTTATGAGTTTTACTTGTAACATAACTTGAAGGGGAAAAAAAAACAAACATAGCATGTCCCTGGTTAATCTAAGAATGACAACACCGCATCTGGCTGGGAGGAACATAGGCCAATAGGAGGAGGAGTGTAATGTCTGGCATGGGAAGCAGGCTGCAGGTGGAAACAAAGTTGCCCTCCCAAATGACGGCTGTCTGTCTCTCTGCAGCTATTGTGGAAAACATGGCTGAGTTCCGGCCGGAGATGTGCACAGAGGCCGCCCAGCAGGGTCTTCTGCAGTGGCTGCTGAAGAGGCTGAAGGTAAGTCTTTGCTGTGTGCGTGGCTCACGCTGGGTCGTTGGCACAGGTTGTTATTCCTGGGCTGTGTGATCTCGTTTGGGAATCTTTTGGCCAATGTTGCCTCTTTCCTTGCTTCTCTTCTTTCCTTTGTTTTAAAAATCGCCTTTAATAGCCCTGAAAATAATATAAACATGTTGTCAACACAAATTCACATAGTACAGAAGGTTTATACCAGAAATAGAATTTCTCCTCTGCTGATTCCTTCTAGTTCTACTTCTCAGAGACAGCCACTGTTAACAATATTTTATCTATCCTTCCAGAAATTGTCTGTGTAAATAGGAGTGTATGTGTGTGTTTATATGTGTTTCACAAATAGAATTATACATTATTTTCTTTTGCAAGTTAATTTTTTTTTTCACTGAACTAGTGGCTGCCTAGTATTCCATTTTATGGTTGTGCCAAATTAATGTAACCATTCTCCTGTTCATAACAGTTTTTTACTGTTAAAACAGCACAGTAGTGAGTATTCCCATGTACACACACACACTGTTTTGTTTTCTTTTTTTTGCACACTTGTGTCAGTTTATCTGTAGGATAAATTCCTAGAAATAGAATTGTCCAGTTAAAGGGTATGCGCATTAACATTTTTGATAAATTTTGCAGAATTGTCCTCTATTAGTTGCTCCACTGAGTTGAGATGTCTATTTCCCCTAGCAATATTGGGCATTGTCAAATTTTAAATTTTGTTAATTTGATAAGTGAAAACTGTTATTTTATTTTAATTTGAAATTTTAAAATCAAGTACAAAGTGTTGGCTTTCACCTGTTTATTAGGCAGTTGTATTCATCTCTTTTAGCTTCCTATTTATATCCTTTGTTCATATTTTTGTTGGATCATTTATTCGCTTTCCTTGTTAGCATAGTCCTTTTGACCATTTAGCGCCTGTACCATAGAGTGAATGAGGAAAGGGAGAGGTAAGGGCTTCTCTCAGGTAAGGGCTTTCTCTCTCATCCCAAAGATGTGATGGGAGGAAGTTTGGAACTACTTAATACTGTAGTACTGAAATATTCTGGGCAAGCAAGGATTCCCACCCTTTTCAGTGAGAAAGAGGCACTTGTTTGTGGCTGGAATGATTCTTTAGGTAGTCCTGGCCTTGCTGAGCTCCAGAGGGTCATAGAGATGCAGGAAGTCTGAGGTGCATCAGGTGCAATTTATCCCTGCCCCCCTCCGCCCCAGCACTGTCTTGGCAGGGGTGAGGAGGAAGATTCTGCTTAAGATATCATATGTCCGCATGGTTCTCTCTCTTTCTGACAATTTAGGTCTTCTCAAATCCTTCTTATTTAACCCTTTGTTGCCACTAAATCTGTAACATAGACTTGCATTAACATGACTTGAGGACATTCAGCTCACTTGCGTGTTCTCCTCAGTGGGTAGGGGCACACTTGCTGGTATAAGTATAAACTTAATGCATAGTTCAGTAGACTGCAACTTCCTATCCCCACACACACACCCTCACCTTTCCTTTCAGGCAAGAGTCAAGTCATTGTCATGAGTGAAATGCAGCTTCTTTTGACCTCCTCTCATGAATCTTTATGTCCTTTGGTTTCCCCATGTAACTCACATCTCCCTCAGTTTCTTCGTTCCTCGATAGTCAGCAAAACTTTATTCTCCAAAGCCTTGAGGTATTTTGGGGATGAGGAGTAGGGGAGAGGAAAGTAAAACACAGAGTTAAGGTGATGGGATAGATGGCAGGGACCTGAGTCTTAATAGGATGGCCACAGGTTGGGGCCTCAACTTTATACAAAATAATCCAATAATTTTTATCTTTGTGAGGTCAGGGCCAATTTTTCCCAGTTGCTTGAGGCTTGATACTGAATCAGGGAGTCTTCGTTAAACTAGAATAGCCGGCCTCTTCTGCCTTTTGAAAGGTGTTGAAACTTGCGGGTCTTTTTATGAATTGGTAACAGAAAGGGAAATTGAGACCTTTGGGTGTTTGGTTGAATTCCATTACTCTTATGAGAGTAGTAAAGAGGCCCATTTGGCTGTCTTGCAAGCTTTTGACTCTTACCTTTCAGGCATAGTATTTCTGTGATCCTCGGGGCACAAATAGCCATGTTGTTATCTCCAAAACAGTTTTTCAAAATTTGGGGGTATCTAACCATTAAAATGCTATTTGGTTATTTTACTAGTAAGTGAAAATTCTTAGAAAATTCTGTGCTGACCAGAACATTAATGAAAGTTCTGCTTCAGGGTGAGGCCAGCAAGAAGGCATGTCTTTAAAAGCAATGTCTTGCTCTTATTTCTCATAATCTGGGGAAGTGCTTATCGTAATCTTCACCATCATAATCTTGGTGAATCAGATTGAATGATGGACCCAGATCCTTACTTTCACAGGTAGAACTTTAAAAAATACAGATTCCCAGACGTACTTTCTCAGTCTCTGTCTTCAATGTATTTTAGACACGTTCCCCGTGTGATTATAAATGTACAGTGAATTATAAGATCCACTGGTCTCTAGAAATGTGAGCATTTTTATTACCTGTTTTTGTTCAGTACTACTCCAAAACTAATTTAAAACTTCATTTCCATTATGCCATTCCCTGTTCAAGAACCTTCCTACAGTGATGCTAATGCCCTCTGCATCAGATCCCACAGTCTCTGCCTACTTTTTAAGGCCCCTTACCCTGGCCTGATCTGACCCTTCCATTTCTCAGTTTTGAAACATTGGCCTTTTAGTTTTCAGACATGCCTCTCTTTACCTGCCCCCTTTGCAAAGGTCAGTATTTTTTACCTCTATGTCTTTGTTCATGTTCCTCCCTCCACCAGGAATGACTCCTGCCTTATGTATTTCTAAATTTTAGGTAACCTTCATTAACCAACTTAAACCCCCTACTCTTCCATATTGTTACCACCATTTTTTGAACTGGAAGGAATCTTATAAGTTCTAGAAAAAATTAAAAATCAAGACCTGTAGAGATTAAGACAGTTAAGATTGCCCAAATTCATGTAGCTATTTAGAAATAGAGCTAAAATTAAAACCTAAGCTTCCAGACTTTTTCCATGTACTCTTCCCATAGCACTACTCTGCCCATACTGCCCTCTTTCTTTTCTGAGTATGTCTTTTTTTTTTTTTTTTCTTTTCTTGTTGGTTCTGTTCTGGGACTTAGCAGATCTGGGTTCTAACATATGCCTATAGCTGAGTGAAACATACCCTCATGGAGTACCTTTTCTTCATTACCTGGGAGACTTTCATATTATTATGTGTGTTCCTGGTCTTTCTCCAAATATCCTTAAATGCCTTAACAGCACGGACTAGGACTCCATCCTATGTGGCACCTCTTCCCTATTGTTCTCTGGGTGTGGTTCCCAATGAGGAGCATCAAAATTACCTGACTGCTTGTTGGAAATGTACATTCTTGAACCCACCCCAGACTCACTAAATCTGCCCAGCTTGGAGTGGAGCCAGCAATCTGTGTTTTAACAAGCCCTCCAGGAGATTCTGATGCGTGCTGAAGTCTGAGAACCCCTTCCACGTTTACATTGCTTTATAAAATCTTGCTACCTAACTGGTCATCCCACTGTTTATTCAGTAGTCCTTGACTAACCCCTAAGTGAATGGCACATTAGTGAGTCTCCTTTTGGTACTAGTAGCCTAGCTAGCAGTATATAGAGATACTTAACGGATTTTTTCATTCACTAAATGAAACCTTACTAATTTGTGCTGCTAATGAGGATAAAACTCATTTCACAGGATTGCATTAAAAGGTTTAACAGGTAAGCAGATAACTGTAGTGTGAGAGACGCTGCACCATAGTTCACTTTTAATGGGGAACACAAACTTATTAGGATATTGTGTACTATTGAAAATAATACCAAAACTTTTTTCTTTTTTAAAGAAACAAAATTCAGATTCCTTTTTGTTTCCCAATTAAATCATTGCTTCAAAAACAGTTGCAATATTCAGCATTGAGCTCATGAGTTGAGAATTGGCTACAGTATACTACATGTACAACTGGTTGATGCTAAGTCCTTGGCCTCTTATGAGCAGGAGTTGGGATGTTTATAGGGCACAGATTGCTTTGACGATTGTACAGGACTGGAGTCATGTCTGAACCTGCCCCAAGTACCAGAGGTGAGCTGCAGAAATAATTTGCAGCTTCTGGCTGCGGGTGGTAGCATAATTGTCTTGTACTTTCCAAAAAAGCAGCAGCTCCCCAAAAGGTGAAGTTTAGTTTTATTCAGGGCTGGCATGTGCTGAGTACAAACCTATGCTTGACTCTCTAATTACTCTGACAGCTGAAGGATTTAGGATCACCAGGCTCCTGGATGGAGGAGAGCCCCAGAAGCTCCAACTCCCATTGGGTAACTTTGCAAAATCCAAGAGAAGATACCTGGTAAATGAATTCTCCCTCCTCTGGATTTTGACTAAATGTCCTTGTAATTTGGCAGTTTGGTATTTTGCAGACTTGGAGACTGTCATCGCTGAGTGAGATTTAAACAGAAATAAAACTTCCTTGGTGACTTTTGTCTTTGGCTAGACATGAAAGATTAGTCTCCTTTTTTCCCATTGAGCCCACGGTTTCACTCAATATAAGAGATATCAGGCAGGTTAGAGAGGCAGAGTAATTTGGCCAAGATCACATAGCTAGTCACTAATGTGTAGAACTGAGATTCTAACCTGGATATTTCTGATCCTGGTCATCAGAAAAACATGTAGCACCTACTATGTGTTCAGTCTCTTACTCATGTCTGACTTTTTGCAATGCCAGGACTGCAGCACACCAGGCCTCCCTGTCCATCATCAACTCCTGGAGTTTACTCAAACTCATGTCCATTGATTTGGTGATACCATCCAACCATCTCATCCTCTGTCATCCCCTTCTCTTCCCACCTTCAGTCTTTCCCAGCATCAGGGTCTTTTCCAGTGAGTCAGTTCTTTGCATCAGGTGGCCAAAGTATTGGAGTTTCAGCTTCAACATCAGTCCTTCCAGTGAATATTCAGGACTGATCTCCTTTATAGTCCAACTCTCATATCCATACATGACTACTGAAAAAACCATAGCCTTGACTAGACAGACCTTTGTTGTCAAAGTAATGTCTCTGCTTTCTAATATGCTGTCTAGGTTGGTCATACCTTTTCTTCCAAGGAGCAAGCGTCTTTTAATTTCATGGCTGCAGTCACCATCTACAGAGATTTTGGAGCCCCCAAAAATAAAGTCTGCCACTGTTTCCACATCTATTTGCCATGAAGTGATGGGACCAGATGCCATGATCTTAGTTTTCTGAATGTTGAGTTTTAAGCCAACTTTTTCACTCACTTCTTTCACTTTCATCAAAAGGCTCTTTAGTTCTTCTTCACTTTCTGCCATAAGGGTGCTGTCATCTGCATATCTGAGGTTATTGATACTTCCATATTGTGTTAGGTACTTCCATATTGGGCTTTCCTGATGGCTCAGTGATAAAGAATATGCCTGCCAATGCAGGAGACCTGGGTTCAATCCCTGGGTTGGGAAGATCCCCTGGATTAGGAAATGGCAACCCACTCTGGTATTCTTGCCTGGGAAATCCCATGGACAGAGGAGCCTGACAGACTATAATTGATGGGGTTGCAAAAGAGTCATATACAACTTAGTGACTAAACAACAGCAACTTCCATATTATTTAATTCTCATAGTAACCCTCCAAAGAAGATGTTATTTTGTCTCCATTTTACAGATTAAAGAAACTTGAGACCAGGAATGTTACTTCAGTCATAGATGACCATTCTTAATTCATGGTGCCATCAGTATCTCAGTAATTTTTTTATAAGGTTCTATGCCAAAAAGGACCTAACAGTCCCATTCAAGGTAGTTAGATGCAAACAATTTCATACATATTTATGTCCTAAGAATTTAGTAGCCATTTGAAAAATGAAATGCTTGGATTAAAATATATTTTTTATTTCATTCTTAAATACCACAACTACTTACCTATAGATGTGTGTGCCTTTTGAGTACTGTACAACTTCTAAAACCTTGGAATCAGATTGAACGCCACCATCTTTGTTTCTTCTCCACATTGATTTTCACACAGCTCTTTTATCACAGTAACCATCCAAAGCCAGCCTGTCAAAGAAGGGATATCATCAAAAGAAACAGTACCTGGAGCTAATGGTTAATGCATTCACTGTTCCACAGGTGTCAGATGTCACTGTGCTTTTCTTGGAAATGTGAATCCTTGGAATCTCCTATGGATTCAATGTGGTGTCCCATGGCACACGGTTTGGGAACTACAGACTTTGGGTTACATACATAGTACGTGCTTATGAGTGAAATCTAGATGTGTCTGATCCTAGATTTATATCCTTTTTTTTTTAATATACATGTATTACTTGATAAAATTAATTTTAATTCAGTGTAATCTTTTAAATGATGTAACAGTGGATGAGGTTCATGCAAATTCACCTCTGTTTGCTGTCATGTTTAATTTTTTGTGTTAATATTTAGCAAATGCCTAATAAATAACTTGATGGGAAAAGAGGGAAACCTTCCCCCCTACCTTGGAGACAGAATTTTGTAAAATCTAATAAAAGTCAAGAGTCATTAGAACCACAGAAAAGCTATTGCTCTAGGGGCCTGATATCTTTTGGTCTTTCACTTGAGTGTATTTTGTTTGAACCAAGAACCTTGACCCTTTAAAAGCTGCATATAAGTTGGTATGGCTTAAATCACTTAACTAACAATAAATATATAAATCCATTGCTCAGTCATGTCTGATTCTTTGCAACCCCGTGGACTGCAGCGCACCAGGCTCCCGGAACTTGCTCAAACTTGTGTCCATTGAGTCAGTGATGCCATCCAACCATCTCATTCTTTGTCATCCCCTTCTCCTTCTGCCTTCAATCTTTCCCAGCATCAGGGTCTTTTCAAATAAGTCAGTTCTTTGCATCAGGTGGCCCGGGTACTGGAACTTTAGCTTCAGCCTCAGTCCTTCCACTGAATATTCAGAACTGATTTCCTTGAGGATTGACTGCAAGAGTCCTTGCAGTCCAAAGGACTCTCAAGAGTCTTCTCCAACACCGCAGTTCAAAAGTATCAATTCTTCCGTGCTCAGCTTTCTTTACTGTCCAACTCTCACATCCGTATGTGACTACTGGAAAAAGCATAGCTTTGACTAGACGGACTTTTGTCAGCAAACTAGCCGTGCTCATAACTTAAATAACATGAGTGATTTTATTAGCAGATTCTTCATTCTGATAGAGATACTCACCCCTTGGCTTTTCACTTTTGTGTTTTGATTTGTATAAAACTGTTTTTCTTAAAGTGAAAAATGCCACAGTTTGCATTTAAACACTGGCTGTTGTACTGAATTTCCTGAAACAAGACCTTAAGCTTGCCCAGGGAGCATACCTTGCAGTCAGCACACGTAAGACCTTGTATTTACAGATCTTTTAACCTGAGATGGGTCATACCTGGTCAGCCTCCAGAAGCCCTGTGGGGTGCACTTAGGCTTGATGAGGAAGACGTGCAGAAAGAACTGAAAAGATGCTGGGTGTTGCTTCATTAGGGGCTAGTCTTCCTTCTTAAGTGCAAAATCAATGTCCAGACAGAGCTGTGAATGGTGCTAAGGGGATGGCGGTATTAGCTTCAAGATAAACACCTCCCTTGTCCTTTCCAGGTACAGTAATTATTTGTCAGTTCAAAAACCTGGATAGATAGCAGGGTTGCTGCTGATTAACAACTGTTATTGTGCCTGCATTTTAAGGATCTAGTAAATAAAAACACATCGATGAGGCTCACACTCCTCTCTGTGTCCCTTTGTCCACGGGGCATCATTAATGGTGAGGCACTTGAGTCTCACTGCAGGAGCAACAATGTGGGTGACCATGAAAGATGGGCTCTGCAGTGCATGTGTCCCCTCTGCGACTCCAAGTAGCAGAGCATGCAGCAGGGGAGGAATTGTGGGTAGTAATTTGGGTGTTAAAATATTAACACATTTCTGCATATTTAATGTGGTTTCCTTTTTAAATAGTAGGCAGATTATGGCCCACGAGCAGATAGGTTTATGATTTCAAATTAAATTTTAAGCATTAAGAAAAATTAAAAATCCAAAGAGGAACTACTTTGTTACAAAGACATTCAGCTAATCTAAATAAGAACTGGCTTTCTTTTCAGCTTCTCTGATCATCTGTCCATAGGCTAATTTACAGCCTAATTTTATGACCGTCACTCATGACTGAAGCTTCATGATAGATTTTAGTTTTAAAAACTTTCATTCATCTACTTTGCATTTGAGTACATATTATGTGCTTGACCATAGTCCCTAGACTCACAGTAGGGAATCTTCACAGAGGAGGTGACGTTTGTATCTGGGCATTAGAAGTGTGAGGACCGCTGTGTACATAACGCTATTTATGGTTTTACTGGGCAGTACTGGAGCCTGGTCTCGACAGCAGAGGCAGACTTTTTTTCACCCATAACCTGCTTTTTCCCTTTCTCACTTCTCCGTCTCTCCAACTCAGATCCTAATACTTGTGGAAAAAACTGTCCCGGGGAAGGAAACAAGGGCCCTTAACATATTTCTCCTTTCTCCTGTTTCCGCATAGGCAAAGATGCCCTTCGATGCCAACAAACTGTATTGTAGTGAAGTGCTGGCCATATTGCTCCAGGACAACGATGGTGAGGCTCCCTCTCGGTATTGATATTCTGTTAGGATAGGAGCCAGGCTTGTTTCAGATCATGACAGCAAGCTCTCTTGCCTTTGGCATCCCCTTGCTCTCCCTCTCGCTCTCTGTGCAGCTTTTGTACTCTGTCAAGCTGTATTGATTTTGTTTGCTGATGTATCAGTGTTAGACGGCTGTAAAATCTGACAGTTAGCTTCATTTTTTTTTCTTCTATTTTTTCCCCCTTTTAGAAAACAGGGAATTGCTTGGGGAACTGGATGGAATTGATGTGCTTCTTCAGCAGTTATCCGTGAGTAATTCTTATGCTTCCTGTCTGCCATGAAGATACATGGCTTGTATCTTTAAATGGGAGGTGGAGCTGGAGATAGTGGGAAGGAATAAGCCATGTGATGCAAGCCATATGGGGTGTGTTGGCAGGCTTGAGGTCACAATGGAGGCACATGGTTTGCCTCCTTTCTTAGTCGTTTGCTCTTTATGACCAGATATCACCATGTATCTGGTGTGGACTTTCTCAGTCTGCTGATGTTTGTCAGGCCCAAAGACGTGTGCTTCCCACTTAAGTATATATTTTTGAGCCAAGAATGCCACACTATTTTCAGTTGACCCACTCCCAAGATTATTCACTTTCTTTTTTGTCAGTCTGCCACTAAATTGGGGTCTGTTCATTTAGAATCAGGTAAGCTTCACGTGTACAAGTTCCAGTGCAGTGGGATAGAGGTCAGAGAGGAGGATAGGGGGAGGATGTGGCACTGGAGGCTGGAAAAAGAAATTAGAAATTGCCATTTGCTCAGTGTTAGAAATGTAAATCCCGTTGAAATGTTCTGCTGGCATTCTGAAAATACTGTTAAGATTTTTTTTTCCTAACCAGTCTCATCTGTGCTATTTCAAAACCAGGACTGAAAATAGATCATTTGGATAAAATCTTTAGAGTGTTGGGAGTGTCTGAGATGTCAGTTTGCATACAGCTTCCATCCTGGTGCCAGCAGCCTGAGTGGTTTGGCCTTCACCCCAAAAAATAGAGCTTTGAATTGTGAATCTGTTCCCAGTTCTGGGAAAGTGCTTAGTCCCTTTCCTATAAGATTGATCATTTTGTAGTAGACTGTATGGGTATGCATACACTGTTAAGAGGCTTTCCCCCCAACATGCCATGTATTTCTGGCAAAGATAAAAACTGCTTGAAGCCATTCCCATGACTTAGAGCCACAAATGGTCTGTAAGGCAGTTCATTAGCCCTGGTGATTAGGAAACTGTTCCTTATTTGGGGCCAGGATTTGTCCTTCAGAACTGTGATTTATTTTACAGCGGGAAGAAATGTGTTGCGGTTGGGTGGGCCAAGTGGAGAGCTTTGGGGTGGGGGTAGCTGGCAAAGTTGTTTCTCGATCTGGGTGATGGTTTCAGGGGTGTTCACCTTACTCATTTAGCTGTACATGTTTATAGAGTTTTCTGTAGGTGAATATGTTTCATAATAAAAAGATTTTGTTGGTTTTTGTTAAATCTGCCTCCTTGGAACTATGAATCACTCCTGAACCTAATGGTCAATTGAGTGGTTTTTTTGTTGTTATTGTGTTTTTTTGTTTGTTTGTTTTTGTTTTTGCATGATAGCCGTTTATTTAATACCTGTGAATCAGAAAGCCCAGTTTCTCTAAAATAGAAACAAATGGGAATTTTGTTTGGTAAGGCTCTGCTTCTTTAGTTGTAGGGTTATTGGAGTAGACAGGCTTTGGAAATTGTTGAATGCTGGTTGATGAAAAGACCTTCTCTTATGATTCTGTGCCTTCTGATATTTTTGCTTGACAGGTGTTTAAAAGACACAATCCTAGCACAGCCGAGGAGCAGGAGATGATGGAAAATCTGTTTGATTCCCTCTGTTCCTGCCTAATGCTGAGTTCCAATCGTGAGCGCTTCCTAAAGGGCGAGGGTCTTCAGCTGATGAATCTCATGCTAAGGTATGCTTCTCATCTCCTATCATGTCCTAGCTGTACATCTTTTTTTGTCCAACTCCTCACTGTTAGCCTGGATTCAAGAACATGTAGCTAGCTATGGTCTTTTATTCCATTGAGTTTCCTAGATGTATAAAACAGTAGTCTTCAGGTGAGTGTATGGTCTTTTCTGAAGTTAGTTTGGATGAATACAGAGTATATTTTGGTCTGTTTGTACCCTATTGTTATGTCATTTGGTAATAGGACCACTCCAGTGAAGGGAAATTTGTTGTTGTTGTTGCTCCTTCTCATAGTGTGTTGGTTTGGGGAAATCTAGTCATTAACTTCTAAACATACCCTATGATAATTTCTAAACTTAGCCCAATTTTCTTTTTATCTTATATAGACCTATATATGCCATATGTTTGTCCATCCATATTTCTACTATTGACAAAGATCAATAGTGGCTCAGATGGTAAAGATCTGCCCACAGTGTGGGAGGACCAGGTTCGATCCCTGTGTCGGGAAGATCCCCTAGAGAAGGAAATGACAACCCGCTCCAGTATTCTTGCCTGGAGAATTTCATGGACAAAGGAGCCTGGCAGGCTACAGTCCATGGGATAGCACAGTCAGACATGACTGGGCAACTAACATACTTTACTATTGACAGCAGAATGTAATTCCTGTTTGTCATTTATACATATTTTTCATTATATATTATTTTCAATAATGAGTTGTGCCTTGCTATGTGGCTAGCATCAGAGATACAAAAAATGTGCAAGACAGTTCTAGAACTTTTCTTCATAATTCCTTCCTTGTATATCTAGGTCTAATTTAAAGCTCAAACAGTAAACAATCTGCCTGCAGTGCGCGAGACCTGGGTTCGATCCCTGGGTCGGTAAGATCCCCTGGAGAAGGGAATGGCAACCCACTCCAGTATTCTTGCCTGGAGAATCCCATGGAAGAGGAGCCTGGTAGGCTCCAGTCCATGGGATTGCAAAGGGTCGGACATGATTGAGTGACTGTCACTTTCACTTCACTTTCATATCTTATTACTTGTGATTTCATTTCTTAAAATAGTTAAAGTAGATTTCATATTGGTGTAATTCACAGAATCTGGAAGTAAATGGGAGATAGCTTGTAGTTGATAACTCTTGAGAAATCTGGCTTGGAAGCAGTAGAGATATAGGGTGAAGAGGTAACCAGAGCTGGGTGTTTAGTTGACAATGGTCAGTTTTTTTTAATTGAGAGATGTAAGAGCATGTTTGATTGGTTGGAGGACTGAGCACTATGGGATTATTCTTTATGAAACTGAGCCTGAGTCTGCTGTTTTGAAACATATCTGCATACATTGAAAATTTCAGTGAAAAAATTTTTTTAATAAATTTGATACTTATCTATTAAATATAGCTTAAAATATAGAAATACAGAACTGTTAAAGCACTGATAAGGTAATGTGTTAAGTGCTTGGCTTATTCAGAAATGAATGGTAGGATTCCTGTCCCTTTGGATGCAGATTCCTTGGAGTCTTTTTCCCCATAATTGTTTTGTTATTTTTAACGCTTTTTAGGCCTACCACACTTGTAATTTTCTATACTGTTTATTTTTTTAACTTAACATGCTGTTTCCCATGTTGTGACATAATCTTCATGACAGTTTTCAATAATTGAATAATGGTGACACCAAGGGAATATAACTTGGTCTTTCTTTGTTATTGATATCGTAGTTATTTCCAATGTTTTGTTGTTATAAAAAATTCTCCAGTGACAGATTCTACAAATTTTTGTGCTTAAAGCTATTTTTGTACTTAAGATCATCAGGGTATGTGTTTAGAAAACATATTCTTTTTAAAGGCTTGTATAGGCCCAGGGGCACAGTAGATCTCTTGGTTTGTCCAGTGTGTACCAGACCTTGGATTGATTGAAAATCTTCCTTGGTGGAATTGTTTTTAAAATTTTATTTTAAAGTACAGAGAGGGGCAGTGTAATTATTCAGAGGCCTTTAGTGTTCAACTGATTTTTGCTGGCTCTTCTCTCTTGAGTCTTTTGTTTGTTTATCTTCTTACCCTTCTAATTGCCTGTCCTTTTGTTGAAATGACCCACCTTCTCTCAAGCACATAGCATATAAAGAAGATGCATTTGGCTTCCTGGACCTTATAACCTTAAAACTATATTCTACAGGGACTTTCTTCTAAGCTTCTTGAAGGTCTGAACTGCCAGTGTCTTTGGATGTTTGAGTACAAATACGAGGTGATGTATTCCTGTAGCATATGGCTTGGAAATGTGCAGCAGTGGGGAGCTAAATAAATAACCAGAAGTATGGATTATTCAAGCAGGAATGCTGAGGTTCTGGGAGCCTAATTTAAAAAGGAGCTCTAAAAGATGTAGAAATAGCACCTTTCTAGGATCTCCTAACTTTTCATTTTTGAATGCTGAAGTTACTGTTAGATTAATTCTTTTACCTTAATTAGCTATATCAGCAGATTCAGCATTTCTTTTTTTTCTCTTTCTCATGCTCTTTGTTCTGTGTAATTTTTTTCCTTCAGACTCCCAAATGAAAAGTTTAATTGGGAGAGAGTTGTTTCTCCCTAGTAGATCCATCCTTCCTGATCTTCTAGCAAGAGCTGCCAAGTTGCTCTCTGTCTCAAGGGAACCCATTTAAAAACTATGCAGCTATAACACTAGAAGTTCAGGAAAATTCCTCTGGTTCCATTGCCCGTAAATACTGATTTTTATTTGAATTCAAGCATTCATCAAACAGTTAATGAAATGCCCACCTGGAGAGGTAGCAACATGTTGTAGTGTGAAAGAAAGGGGTTTAGAGTTGAGGCAGATGTGGATTTGGAACACAGCTCTTTCAATGACTAGTTCTGGATGTTTGGTGAGTTATTCTAACCTTTCTGTCCTCTGATTCTCCCTCTTTTCATCTGGAAAATGGGAGTAACAATGCCAAATTTGCAGGGATTTTGTGGGAATTAGACTATATAAATTGTCTGG